AATAGCTTTGGATAAAGTCCACTTCTTTTTTATTAATTCAAACTTAGTACATATCAGAAATTTACAACATCCAAATTCGTCAATAGTTATGAATGACTCGGCATATATTTTAAAGGAATGTGACTTCAGAGTCTAATGAAGTCACAGTTTCCATTTGGTCTTCTCTGTTGAAATAAGAAGGAGAAAAAAAAGTAGCCCTTGCTTTGTTTCATGGCGATTCTTCTCAGTACATGGTCTCCTGTCGTAGATTTGCAAACTAATGGCATAGCTTTCGACTTTCACAAGTGTTTAGTAAAGAGCCTAAACTGAATAAGGGAAGCTACATCATATGCGGTAAATATAGGCTATATTTTATCCCGAAAAACAGTTAATAAAGGGCTGAAAATGGGAGTGGAAGTTTGATTATGGAATTAAAGCATTGCCATAGTAACCATCGATTACTATTTGATATGTAATTGGACGTAGTCACTCAAAAAGGATCCAACCCACAAATTGGTCGAAAATGAGTTAAGTCTACCAAAATGTCCATCAGGATCTATACTTGAGTAGCTCGGTGGCGTAGTGGATAAGCGCTGCGGCCCGCGATCGTAGTCGTTAAGCAACTTTCGCAAGGGTCGGTCACGGGATTGGTCACCAAAAAATTACTATCTCGAGCTACTCCGTGCTTCGGAAGGCACGTTAAGCCGTTGGTCCCGGCTGCATTTGCAGTCGTCAATACCCTCCAATCCGCATTGGGCCAGCGTGGAGGGTCATGGCCCATCCTCCTTAACCATCCATAAGGAAGGCCTGAGCCCCTGCAGTGGGGACGTAAAAGGGCTGGTGGTGGTGATCTATACTTTTATATAGGAAAAAAGCTCTGAGCTGTATTAAATATTTGACGTTTTTTTCAATGGTAGTTACCATCCCACATCTTTGGTAGGTTCATATTTTAGTTCCATGAAAACGACTGAAGCTTCTTCTATCCATATAGTAAAATAGCAAACTAGAAAATTAAAGGCACAACTCTTGGTTAAAAATCACAATAAAGGTTCAAAACGCTTGAATCATTTTCGTTAAAAAGTAATTTTATTCAAAGGTGTAGTAAGGTAATTTACAGAATATATTTGACATTAAAAATTAAAACAATAAATATAAAGAACCTTAAATAAATAGTTTTTACCATAAAATTTTGGCATTTCAGTTATAATTATTCTATTATTTCTTCATTTGGATCGTTTTTTTTTGTTTTGTTTTGTAAGAATAAGGTAATTAAAACCTAAATATATCAAAAAGGATCCAAACATACTTAAACCTTTATATTTTAATAAATATTGTTAGTTCTGTTAAAATGACATTATAATAAGATAATGTAACTGGTTTTCTATGCTATTACATAAAAATATAATACACAAAAATGTTACATCAACATGCAAATACAGCTTAAACTTCCATCGTCTATGACTCAAAAGGACATTATGTGTGATGGATCCTTTTTGATTAACTACGTCCAATTGAAGTTATATTCGTGTCAAGATATGAATCGTCTAAGTAAACGGCAAGCTAGTATTATATTATATTTGCAGTCCTATTCGATTAGCAATATTGTATGGATTTTTAGGCAAATTTGTTTGTCTAGGTTTCGCGGTAGGCTCGCTGGTAGGGGGTATGTTGTACTCGTGGGCGGGTGGGCGCGGCTCATTCCGTATATTGGCGGCTACGGCGGTGGTCGCGTCTCTCCTGCACGCTTTACTGTTCCGCTTCGTGTTGAGGAAAGCGGACAAAAGTAAGTATTTAGATTCAGCCGCGATAATTTTACGGTTTTGTCAGGGAGGACGCAGAATATTCAGTTTTCGCTGTCTAACTAAATATATACAGTAATAGCACTAAACAAGGTTTAGCGTCAGAGTATATTTACGCTAAAATTTCAATTTTAGTATTAGTTCAAATATATATTATACAGAGAATAAGCAAAACCTACTTACATCTAGGAGTAAATATTACTTTCGTAGAACTGAGACAAAAGCTAATGTTAACTAGTAAGAACGCGTTCTATCTAAAACCGACTAAGAACTAGTTTTTTTAATGTATGAATGCAGTTCTTCTCGTCAAATTAATTACAAGGTTTAAAGAACAGATCTTTATAGTTTTATACTTTCTCATACTGACCGTTTTAAATGTTTCACCCGGTATAATATTAATATATTATATTTAATCGATAAGCATCGAGAATAAAACAATGTTTGTATATATTAATGTTTTGAAATATTCTGAAATCCTTGCAGAACAAAAGCAAGCAGCAGAAGCGACAATACAAGAGGAGGGTGAGAAGATGTTGCCTATTGCGCAGGATTATGGTAACACTATTTACAAAGAAACAGTATTGCCACTTAATTGTAGTGATAATAACGCAGCTAGGTAATGACGGGCGTATGTAGGGTTGCCAACGTAATGAGGCGAAATAGAATATATTTGATTTAAATCTCTTATAAAAAAGAGTAAAGTATAAAAGTAAAACATATTTATATAACTTTTTTTAAAAGAATATATATATTTTTAGTTTGGATGATATGTATCATATAAGAATATTATCGTGTCTTCTATTTTTGTTATAGGTAAGAGTATCATCAAGTTTCTGAATTGAATATTTGTTAAGCACGTCTCAAGTTGTACTTTAACGTCACTTAAACTGGTTTTCGTTTCTGATTTTAGTTTTTTTAATGATTTACTTCTATCAACTGGATACAGTTTTCATAAATCTAGGAATTTTGCCTTGTGAAATGTAAAAAACTAAAATTATTGAGAATAATCAGTTGAGATTCAGTACTTTTCTCAATTCAGAAGCAGGCCGTATGTTTACATGTTATAAAGTACAATACTGTATTTTAGAGTACGGTTGGCAACCCTAGATGTATTCTTTGCTAATAGTAAAGTGTTCAACTCAGTGGACTGTGAGAGATACAGTACTCGGCATGAAAATAAACCCAAATTTTTTATCGTGTTTTATTTCTTTTTATTATCTGTGTAGAATTTACTTTGGCGCTGAGTATTGTACTTAGTAGGTAGGATTTTCATAATTTGAGTGGTTGTCAATGCTTTTTATTTAACATGTATTTCAGCGTTATGACCTGCGACTGTTCCAAGGTAAAACACTGATACCCATCTTCAGTTGCCTAGAATCGGGGGTAGGTACGTCCATGATGACTTGAAGTGTAAAATCAAGGAAATATTGTACACTTGTGTGTGTCTTTTCAATCACTTTAGAAAACTTTTGTAAATAATTATGTTCAACATACATTCAACAAAATATTTCCCCAGCGTATGTTATGTGCGTTTCATTAAAAATGAATAAACACTACGAAGTATGTGCATAGATTTGGTGTTTTCGATAATTTTTAATTCGATAAAAAGCTGTACTTGTTAAATGTATTAGTATATATTTTTACTAAAGCGAATTTAAATCAAATCGTGAAATTTCACGAATGTTTATAGCTTCTAAGTCTAGAAAGTAGGTTTGTTTTTTTATATTTATGTTATGGTACATTGTAAAATGGTTTATTATAAAGACTAAATTGAATACCAATGTTTCACTCAATAAAGTGATCATATTTTTTTATTCTTTTTAAATTATGACATAAAATAGTAAATTATGTTTTAACAACGGGTGCTATATATTGCTTTAATTATATTATGTCATGCCATATTGTAATCTGATGATATTTGTTGACTGAGAATATTGTTGTAAATGTTGATCTAAAGTTTTGTAAATAAAGTTTTACAGCATGTTGCAGACGCCACAAGATTATTAATGAATTATAATTATTACTTATCCAGTACACGCTGAATATTATTCTTTTATATCTTTATCTATTTGTTATATTAAGTACCTTTTAAGTAGTAAATTTTTTTTCAATTGACTTGACCTTTTCGGTAAAGTATTTTTAAAAATTTATTATGATTATATTAGGTTACTATTATATTTATTTTCCGCCAAAAAAATGTTATTAAATAATGGAAAAACATATTATTATTCATTAATTAAAATTGTCCTGTGAAAACAATCTCTGACGTCACATTTCAGTAATCTGAGCACTGGTTGCACTCGCAACAAACTCGTTGATGTTGTTTGGTGAAATGTGAGTGATGTCACAATATTCCCCTCATGGTCATCCGCGTTTCAGTACTTGTAAATCACAGATTATTATAAATAGCGAGTTAAAACAAGAAACACTGCATTTATTTTTACATATTAATTGTCCCATCATATTTCGTAATTTATTGATATTAACTGTCAAGTAGTCAATTGTAAGTGATAAATTTTCCAAAGAGTAGCTTCCACAAACTTGTACACAAAGCATCTGAAATACTCTTGGAGTTTGGTGCTAGTTTTCATAACATTAGCATAGGCACTAGCAATGAAAATCAAAAAAAATACCTTTTAAATTGAAGGTATGAAATCACTATGTGTGTTGTATATTACTACTAGCTTGCCGCCAGCGGCTTCGCCCGCATGGTCTTGTATTATACGAAAAACTTCCTTTTGAATCAACCTGTCTATGAAAAAAAACCGCAACAAAATCCGTAAATAGGGACAGAGAAAGCGACTTTGTTTTATACTATGTTGTGTTAAATGGCATTTTTCAAGTCAGAAGAATAATAATATATAGATCAACATATCATAGATACTATTTTGTATATACCTTTTATAAAATTATATCAATTGTTAAGAAGAAAACATTGTTTAATTTCCAAAAAGTCTATTTGATAGTTTTAACAATAATATTCGTCATAGGTACGTATCACGTTTATGGTTAGCGCATTCAGATTGCGATATGGAAGTTGAGCAACTTTACACACGCTAAGCTATTGGTTCCTGCTGCATCTGCAGTCGTTGACACCCACTAATCTGAATTGGGCCCGTTTGGTGGGTTAGTCATGACATGGCCCATATTCGATCCGATTCCATCTATAGGCAAGACTATCAATAGGGACATTAATAGACTGGTAATGATGTACCATGTATTAAGTAACATGATTTTATTTTATTTAAATGCAATTCAACATGTATTACAAAAATCATACATTCAATTCTGTTAAATAAATAAAGCCGATGACAAGTTTCTCTTATAAATTCACAAATGATTCACTCTGAACATAATTCTAAATGACCCTTAATTCTAAGATGTGTGTGTGTGTGTGATTATAACATTCTAAAACACAATCTATCACTCGAAACAAATATATTTAGAAATAAAAGCATAGGACATCAATTTGTAGGTAAATAGGAATTAGAAAATATAATTGTTATATAAAGATTACTCGACAATGTTTTAATCTTTTCGTATAAAAACCATATAAAAAAGTATATCTAAATATCATCAATAACAGGTATAAATCTCATCACGTCTCTTAACAGGTAAAGCAAGCCAATAGCCACCTTAATGCTATGACTATATTATCTGTTTTTCTCTGATAACTTCTTATCACTTGATATTTCTATTCTCTGGTAGTGATGCGAGATAGTCCAACGCTCTTTGTATGGCTGGGGGAATTGGGGGAGGTGTGGGGAGGTGCTCCCCTTGCGGTTGGAACCCGTTCTCATCAGCCTTGTACAGGACGTTGATCACCTGAAATTATATAGGAACTATTGGTATGCACTTATATTATAATTATTTAAAAAAATTAATAGATTTATGCAAATGTCATTACTTATGACAAAGAGCTGGTAAGTTTCTTTTAATTGTTCTTTTTATCAGCTTAAAGACGTCCTGAACAAGTGTTAGGGGAATTTTTTTTTTGAACGATTCAAAAGTATTTGAAACAGGCTTACTTGAATAAAGATATTTTCATTTTCAAATATTAATATTATTTTTTATATGGAGAAAAAATACATATACTGGTATGTTTAACTTTTAAGATGATCAATGCACAACCAATAAAGATTTTTCGAGTTTTTCTTACTTGTCCGTCAGGCGCTGTGTACTGGTACTGTCCTTCCACCACTAAAGTGGGTTGCTCAGCGCCCGGCTGCAAGGAGCCCCGCTGCTCGTGGTATATACCATCCTCTGTTATTGAATAGAAACTAAGTATGTATTTATGAAATGACTTCGTAATCGTTTCATAAATATAAATGTAAACGCGTACGCAAATAGAATAAAAAAAAAACTTATTAAAGCGCGAGTCGGACACACGCATGTAGAGTTCTGTACTGGAAACTAAACAAAAATCATATTTGTTATATGGTAGTCTTTCAAATATTTATTTTATTCTGGTTTTTTGTATTTGTAGTTGAAGCGGCAACAGAAATACATCATTTGTGAAATTTTCAACTGATTAACTTTCACGGTTCATGAGAAACATTCTGGTGACAGACAGCGAAGCCTTAGTAATAGGATTCCCGTTGTACCCTTGGGGAACGGAACCCTAATATAGTGCGCTTGTGAGACGCAAACAAAGTAAGTATATAATGATAAATTTGACTGTCTATATTTCGTGTCACAATTAAAATCGTATGTCATTATTTACATACATCGTGCTATCTTAATTACGGAAGTGCTTGTTATAATTAATTTTGGCAATGCTAAATGATTTTATTATAATACAAATGCAATGTTAAAAAAAATCGCCTTAGGCATGTCATTATGCGTCTTCCGCCATGTCGGGGCGTTACTACTCGACGCCAAGAATTTTATTAACATCGTCTGTTTTTTGTTTGCCTGTGAAAGTGAGCCTTAGAGGTACAGTATTATAAAAATATTCCTGTGTGTAGCTCTTTGTTTATTTCTGTGGTTAGAACTACCTCATTGGACGTCACGGCAGCGACGCCAACGGCGCTTCCGTGAATACGGTTTAGTCTTTGATATGCGAAAACCAGCTGTCAAAGCAGATTTCTAACTATATAAGTGTGGTCACCAAGTTGATTAAGGTTATGTAAGTTGGAATACAATTTAGATAAAACGGTTTTTAGCTGTCTTTACATCATGTATTGTGTTTTCGGAGTTTTTCCGATAAAAGTTTACGTCTACTTATTAAGCCAAATTAACGGTCAGTCGATTAGTTCATTATTTGCCCCTAAAGTACTTCCCCCATTGGTAATACATGCCCAAATGTTTTTACAAGTACAAACCAAGTACCTAACAATAGGACAACTTGTCATCGGATTGTACATTAAAGTGTTAAGTAATGTTTATAACAAATGCTTTATATTTTATTTACAAAAGCACAGTAGAAATACTTTGGTATGAGGAAAATATTTAAGGGCTAATATTTTGATGAACTAACAGACGAATTAAGTTGTAAAAATAAAAATATGTTTTACCGGTCTGCAATGCCCACTTATAGGAACCGTCTGGGTTGGGGCCCTCGAAGTCATTCCTGATGATGCCATCTTGACACCAACAACCAACGATCGCGAACACCTGTAGACATCAAATTTTATTGGTTTTTTATTTTTTGTTCTACCTACCTAATCTATACTAAAATTATAAAGCTGAAGAGTTTGTTTGTTTGAACGCGCTAATCTCAGGAACTACTGGTTCGAATTGAAAAATTCTTTTTGTGTTCAATAGACCATTTATCGAGGATGGCTTTTAAGGCTATATAACATCACGCTGGTTGAAGCGTGATGTTATATGGCCTAAAGCCTTCCTCGATTAGGAGCGAAGAAATAATGGAAAACGCGGACGAAGTCGCTGGCGGCCACTAGTAATATTATAAAACTGAACAGTTTGTGTTTAGTTGAATGCGCTAATCTCATTTTTCACTCAGTATAGTTTTCAGTACAGCATTGTGAATGCAAAATTGTTAAAATAAAATAAATTTTGAGCATTTTCAAATATTTTAGATATCCTCTCCTTGGGGGGTAAAGTAGAAAATTAAAGTGTGCTAAACTATTTATTAATAAACATATCGACGTACCTATGAAATGAAAGGTCTTATTAAGTGAATCTCAAATATACATAACATTTATATTTAATTATTTAGATGGATTGGATACTCAGAGTATCAAAACCTAAGTGGATTTTTTAAAGTATTTTTCATTAAGAATATTATGCAGTATAGCATTGTGAATGCGAAATTATCGAATATAATATATTTTGTTATTAATTTTACACTTAATATTTTTGAATTTGTAAATAATAACAGGCAAAATTTGTCCTACATCCTAATAGGAATTGTAAAAGGTCAGTCCTTATAAGAATAGGTCATTTCACGAATAAGGCATTGTAGGAATGAGTCTTTCGCAGAATGAGGTATTATGCGAAGGGATCTATTAAATAATAGGTCATTTCGAGAATAGGTCGTTTTTTTTTGGCGTAAGCCATTTTGCGAATAGGTCCAATATCTACTCAACCACCTAATGATAGGAAAACCTATTAGAAGAGTATGTCTTTTCAATTTAATATTTTGCTGTATGAGTCCAAATCTGTCTTGACATATTTATTAAATAAATTAAAGAAAATAGAGATTGATAAAAGTTGCTTCACAAAAATAAGTTATTCGAAATAGTAATTTCATGAAAAACAGTCATGGGAAAACGTCAGTTACCTAATTTATTTATTATTATTATTATTTTATAAAGTTTCATTATCATGAGGGGACTAAGATATAAAATATCTTATTAATGTACATATATATACGATTATTATTTCTGTATATAATGTATTTCCTAATTATTACTTAATTTTGCCCTTGGAGTAATTGCCAGCATTGTAGGGTTGGCAAGAGGTAGGTAATATTTATTCATGAGGTGATTACACAATATACATAATATCCGAAATAGTAGGTTGTATTAGCATTAGATATTTTATTATTCGACTGCTGAGTGGCTTCAAAGTCGGTCGATCAACTGCCACTTCCAGTTAGAGTTGTTGAAAGTTAGTTTGGTCAGGTGATATTGAACTTGAACATTAAATTTATTAATTCTATTCTAATTAATTCTATTCTATTCTAAATTTAAAACCGGTCAAGTGCCAGTCGGGAGCACGAATTCCGTTTCCCATTATCTGTTTTCAGCATTTGTTGTTATAGAGGCGACAGAAATATATAAATAATGTGTGAACTTTCAACTCTCTAGTTACCTACCATGGTTCACAAGATGGCGGACAGCGCGGAGTCTTAGGATCCCGTTTTAAACTTTGGGTACGGAACTCTAAAAATACAAGGGATTTTTGATACTTTAATTCATAAAAAAACCCTAATATAAGGATTTTACTTAGGTATATGTTGGATGTAAAAACGTACGTGATATTATTTAAAAATTGACTTCTATCAAAAGCCACAATATTGACAGACCATATGTTATTTTAAGCATCATTCGTGGGTAGGAAATTGAGCACAAATGCCTCTTGACTTCAACTTGATACGTTGGTATGCGCAGGCGCGGATTATCGAAAATCATTGAAAACCATTTAACACTATTACAAATACATTTTGTAATTTTTGTGACAAACAGTGATTTTGTGATGGCGCAAGTGATAAAAAGAAATAGAAATAGATGTTTGTTAGCTAAACTGCAGAAAAAATGTCGCGCCTTTTATAACCGACTTTAAAAAAAGGAGGACGTTCTCAATACGAGTTTTTTTCTGTTTGTTACCTCATAACTTTTTACTGGGGGACTGATTTTGATAATTCTTTATTTTTCTTATTTTATTTGAAAGCCCCATTTGGTCCCATTTCAGTTTGGTCCAGATCTGGCAATGGCGTCTATATGAAAAAGTAAATTTGTATAAAGTATGCCTGATGTTTGTCACCTCAAAACTTTTTACAGGGTGAACCGACTCTATTGATTATTATTTTTTATTTTATTTGAAAGCTGGTGCTTCCGGTGTGTTTCCATTTAAATTTTCAGCATAGTATTTGACAGACTTAGGAGAAGGTTTTGGGTAAGTTTTCGGTTTTCAGAAATGTATTTTAGTGTTACCTATTATATAAAATTATCAATATCACTAAAAAGTATAAAATAAAAAATCTTAAAAAAAGAACCAACTCCAAACTTAAAAAGTGAATAATCTCAAAAGAGAATTATTCAAGAAAATGCTATTGAAGTCGGGGGCCTTTAAATTAATTAACAGCCTACAGAAAACCTCTTCCCAACTTTAGTAGCTTAACTAAGTCGCTTTTGAGATAAGTAGTATTTTCACTTTTTTAAGTTTGATGTCGGTTCTATTTTTTTTTCTTCTATAAACGTTAAGAACTATAAATAGAAACAGATATTTGCATTACACACCTATTTAATAACAAATTACATGCATATTTTTACCCTACGGCAACACGAAAAGGAGTAATATGAATGTAAGAATGCTCATCTGTTCCCTTATAACTTCGAAACTACTCATCGTAACTGAACAAATGAGGTATCATTAGAAGCGTCTTAGATCTCCGTATATTTGATACCCTATCCGTCTCCGTATAGGGTATTAAATGAAAGCGCTTTTTATAGCACATTTTTAAATATATATATTGATAGCTTTTGCTTGCGATTTTGCTTAAATACACCCGAAAATTAATTAAATAAAAAAATAAGTAAAACCCGAATACATCTAAATCGCGGTCTAAAAAGTCGGATTTTAACATTTATAATTATGAAGATCATTAAGGAAGGCTATACAGTTAATAAAGATATTTATTTAGTTATTCATAAGGTTACATTTGAATGCCAGACCATTCACATGACAACGCGAAGTGCTCTATGTTTTTGTTTGTTTACTATAAGGATAACGATGCAATTAAAGTAAAAATAACTAAAATTTAAGCAATTTTTTACAATTTGTTTACAATTTGTATTTTAAAATATAAAAGCTATAATTTTATATCTAATAATAACGACATTATCCCTTTAAATTCTTCTTTGTCGTTTTGCTCTTGTCAAAACGGTCTTGGTCACGTTAATACGTCCCAAGTTAGTTTTAAAGACTTTTTTCAGGATTTCTCGTCATCTCTCTTTGCTTGCAGACTGTTAGGCGTAGTCTGTAGTTATATACGCGGTTTTGTACTGCGGATTTCAATTCATCAGTCATAAGAGTAGAACGCGTACCTGTTTCTCCGAAAACAAAAGTTCGTTTATTTTCGAAACCCTAACACGACCTTAAAGGAACACATTTTTCGATAATTAATAAATAAGAAATGGAGGTAGGACCCTAACACAGCTTCTGATGCACAGATAGTAATGATTTTAATTTAAAAAGTATATGATTTTAAAAAAGTTGTAAGAAAGATTCGAAATTTTTGTAATTTACTGTCGTAGACCGAGAGAGAGTAGCCCCTCAGGTGATCTGCCGCGTGCTTTAGGTCATTTTACTTTGACTTGCACTAGCTCAATAGAACGAATTTCTATTGAGTAGTTATCACGCCTGCAATTTAGTCTTTAAAAAAAAGACATTATTTTTAATAGCAGTAGAAGTAGCATTAAGTAATATTCGTTCATGTCTCTTGCCTACAACCCCTTGCCAAGTGAGGGTTACATCCTGACGCAGCCGGCGGAGAGACATCGCCTATTTAGTTGACTAAACACCATGAGCACAAACGCTCATTTATAATAACTTCAAAACTTCATTTTACAAACAGATAACACAGAAAAGTAATAAAAATCCTTCGTGGTGTGTGGCTGTTTGCGATGGTATTACACTGACACTTAATATTAAAGTATTAACACTGATAACACCTATTTCAGGTGATTATATTTAAAGGGTTAGGTTTTATTTATTAAATAAACTGTTTTACATATAATATGTGTAAAATGACTTGTAATATGAAAAGTGAGAGGTGTAGTGCTGCACTTGACCGAATTAAAAATGCTCAGGATTAATGAAAGATTCGATCATATTATTATTTTTTCTAAACATACGTACATCATAATAATACGAAACTTACAAAATCTTATTACCTTTCGTTGAGATACACGCAATTATACCAGCAGCGGTATTATAAAAAAACTCAACGATTACTAATTTTATCGGTCGTCAATTAACGTAAGTTTAAGCTCTGTGGATTTGTAAAATTCTTTTGTGTAGGTAATAAGTAGGTATCTAAGAATGTGATTAGCCAATTTCAGTCATCTTTTGTGCGTAAATTTATTACTCAACTGGGTATATCGTTAATAGAATATATATAGGTAGTTAAGTACATATAGCGATACGTCAGGTTACTTATATTTATTTAATTCTATTAATGTCAGGCCTTCCCTATGGAATCTAATCAAATCCAATAAGAGGGAGAATAGGCCATGACACAAGCCCAGTGTGGATTATATGAAAATTGTAAAGTTTTATGTAAATAATTAATGGCTAAGCATAATACTACAAATTTACTAAAATACATGTGGCATTAAATTATTTACACAAAACGTTCCAACTTTGATTATAACAGCTACAAACATAAACGCACTTTTTTCGTTTTCGAAGCGTAATATTTTGCAAATTAATGCCATAAAATTAATTTTATTGAATGTTTACAAGTTTAAACGCTTCATATATTTTGAACATATAACAGAAACCTGCATTTTCTCTTATAGGACACAAGCCTAATAGCCTGTTCGTATATGATGTACCTTTCAGTAGGTGAAAGAATTCTTACATTGATATCTATTAGTCGAGAGAAGTAATTACTTGAACAAACGTCAAAACTTAAGCAAATAATTTTACTTTTGGTAATAGTTAGTACACTATTATTATAAGCCATTAATAGTTTTTAATACGTTAAAAATTCTATTCTATTGATTAAAAAAAATTGATTAAGTAATGACATTTTCTCTAGTAATTACTTAGATGCAAAACAATCAAATCTTTTGTCTTCACAATATTAATATTAATATTTTTTTAATATCAAATATATTGCCTGATAATTTATTGACATTAAAATTTTTATATCATTCCAACATTTTTTTTGCATAAAATTGATATAAAAAAAACTAATTTACCACCAAAATGTCAAAGGTGAAACCTGTATTACGCCAAAATTGATTAACTTTTATATTTACAATTAACATTATTAACTAATCTTAACATCTAACTTAGCGTCGATTTTATGATAACTTTGCATGTTTTTGAATAATTAATTAATTTATAATAACCAATACACGACTATTTTGAAATACAAGTTATACATAAATACGATTGTCAGAAGATAAAGTACGAGTTGGCCTCGCGCATCAGGGGTCCCTTACCGTTATCTATAAAAAATAAGTTGTTGTTTTAGAGCGCCCTTAAATGTTTATTTGATTCTATATTTAATTACGTTTTTAACTGGTACAAGAAATAAATCATCTGTGAAATATTCAAATGTATAGATAGCTATGACAGCCTGAAGACTTACAGATAGAGAGCGGAGTCTTTGTAATTTGGCTACGGAACCCTAAAAACAAAAGATACAGCCCTTCTGATTTTTTTAACGCTCTGGCTGAAATATTAAATTAGCATATATTTACCACTATTTTTCAAACACAAACAAATCACATTATCGAACTTTTAAAGTCGGTTAAAATAACGTTTCGTCTAAAATTATTTTAAATTAATTTCACTAATATTATAAAGAGGAACTTCATTGATTGTCTGTTTTCATTGAATATCCTTCGAAAAAAAATCACTTACGGGAAGCTAAACGATACGCGGGTGACATAAGCTACAATTTACGAAGGCAATGTCGCGGTAAAACAACTATCCATTTATATGGGTATATCAGTTGCATTTATACATACGATAACATTTATATAGACCCCAAGGTTTGTTCGGAGATTGTCTATCACAATTCACACGGGAGCTCGACATTTCGCCACAATGAACAATAGATAGGCCAAATTCCGACATTATTCTATAATTTGTAAGCGATCATTCGATACTTACCTACTAAGGATGATGACTATTATTTTTGTCTTTCCGTCAGCCCTGCGATACTGTAAAACTTCAAACCCGATTTCGAAATCATTCGGGTGTCCGAATTCACTTCAAAAAGCGGCATCCGCTCAAACTTGAATTGGTAATAATGTTTCGTGAAATAAGTGAAGTGAGTTTCGAAATGATATAGGATTAAAATATCTATGACACGTTTAATCAATCAATTTTGTTTAGTATTTTTATACAAAAAATGGAATCAATATGATTTCTATACTAAATGACGAGAATTCGGACACATGAGTGAATTCGAATTCGGGTCTGGATTGGTACAGAATCGCAGGGCAGGTAGGAAATCCTTATTTTTCCTAAAGATTAGATAGGATAAACAGGGGTATAGAATAACCACCTGATTCTCTAGGCAAAGGATACAATGAGGAAGTATTAAAAAAAAACATTTGTTCCCGAAATCAAACTAGATGTCGCTACGGCACGTTCTTGATTTCTCCATGACAACCCTTCCGGTTTTTCTTCATGTTTAAAAGTAAATTAGTTTTCAAAACTCAATAAAAAACTCATATTCTGTTTGTACTTTTTCGTATTTGTATTGATATCTAAGTTTCGAACTTTTCAAGTTTCAGTTTTTTTAATATGTTAGTTAAAATGTGTTTGGTCCATTCGTTTCCTGCAAATATCAACTTTTGCTAGAGTCGGCATCTAGTGGAGGTGCTTTTTTAGTGCTTTCTTTTTTTTTTTTAATACTTCCTTATTCTTATCGAATTACCAAACGGCACGTCAAAGTAGTAACATGACACGAAATATGTAATCCTATGGCTAGAATTAAGGCTAGAGAGTCGGTCGCTCTGCTGGGCTTGGAAACCTCATTCATTTTTTGAGAGCGTTACGTGTCATTTGGGTTTCGGTTATTCAAAACTGAAATTATTTCGGTTTAGCCCTGCGATTCTGTAAAAAACCAAACTCGAATTCAAATTCACACAGGTGTCTCTGACTTTTGAGAGCCAAGGCTTAAGGCGTCCATGTCTGCAAATCCATCCATCCATCAATGCTTAAAAGGCACAAATAAAAATGTACTAATGGCTTAATGCCATTAAGCAATCTCTACCAGTCAACCGGAGAGTTATAGCATAGAGCTTTAGAAAGGCGGTATTATTCATGATATCTTAATATTGGTATTATCTAATATTTATTTTGAGTCGCAACTCTAGCACATATGACGACATGTAATGTAACTGCTACCGTACGCCGCCGCCACCGAAACTGTTGATATTTATCGTGTTTGTGTTAATTCAATCAATTTGTGTCAACCACCTACATGATCTGTCTATAATTTCAAACTTACACAACGTAAAACGATTGCAATATTCAAAATCGAAAGTAGGTATATCAGCCAGCCAGCCTTGGTCAAAGTACTTAAAATATGACTCTTAAACGGTTTTCTTTTAAAGCACTTTTAACTATAAAGGATGATTACCGAACTAAATATGTCATAAATGAAAATGATCAAAAAGTTTGCTAAAACTTAAAAGATTTACAAGAATTTCTATAAAGATTATTTGCGATAAAATGTCTGACTTTGACTTAGTAGTCATATTTTCTCGTCGCTTTTAAGCACTCATAACATTTTATTACAAAACAATTATACAAAAGTCTACTTTTTTATGAACTAGTTATTTTCTGCGAATTCGCCCGTATAAAATATAGCCTATGTCACCCGCGCTGCCCTGCCAAGCCGTCACACTGTAACTTCAGAAAATCCCCTTTTGAGTAATTCGACAAAATATGTTTTTGATTAGTTTTTGGCTTATTTAAAAATAAATTATCTAATTTATATAATTTTATGTATTTGGTTGTTAAATATACATCTTAAGTATATCGCCTTAACTTTTATTGTCAAGACAATAATAAAATATTTTATCGAGTTAAAGGAGTGTTACACTGTAACGAAATACAGTTTTGTTAAAAGATAGATAGGGCTTGCTAAAAATGTGAGTCTTTCTGACTTAGACGTAGACGATTGCTGAAATAATTTGAAAGAAGGTATGGTAGATGTGCAAAAGGATGCGCAAAGAGTTATAAAACAGTAAAAGGAGACGCCTGGTGGGATGCGGAGGTTGAAAAATTCGTAGCAAAATATATGTTTCATTTTTGCATGTTAGTGAAAGAGTTATAGAAAGAAATATACCGTATATGCAAGAGTCAAATCAAGTCTTTAGTGAGAAGTGTGAAAGAATAATTATGAAAGAGGACGAGAAACTGACGAAGAACTTCGAATATCAAACTCTTTTGGAGAGAAGTCTCGTCGTTGCTCGTCAGTATCCAGAATGGATAAGATTAAGTCTACAGCTGGGGACATTCTTGCAGATACACAAGATATTTTAGAACTGTGGAGTGGATAAAGGATTGCAACATGTTGTCATGGTTTCGCGTCAATATTGATGTCAGGCAGGGTTGCGTGTTGTCAGCAAGACTGCTTAGACTTAATAATGGTTGAAATAAAAAGAAATTGATTGAGTCCTGTTAAGTAGAAGCACTGTTAGTCGTCTTTTGGATTGACACGGCAGCGCGTGTGATGAAAGTTCCCGTGGGCGAAAGAATTTTTAAAATCGTTCCAGTAATTTCTGAACCTATCCGATATAAACAAA